ATGCCACCAAATTTAACAAAATGAATGGTGAATTCCCCGTTCTTGTGAGCCACCACAAGTTGCTCATGCTCCCAACGGTGGGTGTGGCCCGATATGACAGCGGCAACGCAGGAATAATTGGAGAGCAGACGCACAACTTCCACGTCATTCCAGAGATTGAGCTCATCGTCGTAAGGGTACATGGGAAAATGACAGAATACCAGCACAACCATCTTCTGCTTACTAGCGTACTCCAGCTGCATGCGAAGCCATTGCATTTGTTCCTCACCAATGCCTCCATTAACATCCAACATATTTTTGCGATGACGATAACGATGCTTCATGCCATTCGTTTCTGCCCGTCTGGCAGTACCGGCCCTTGTTGCAAACACCGACAGATCCGTCCCATCGAGCACAATGAGAAGGAACACGCCGCCCTCACCTACCTGAAGACTATAGTAACGGGCTGGCATCCTCAGCAAACGATAAACATGATCATGGTGCTCTTCGCCCAGCCCCAAGAAATCGTGGTTCCCCAGTAACTGGAAAAAGGGAAATTGCAACTGCTTCAGAATCGAATTAATCACTTGGAGATTCCTTGCGATGTCGCGGTTGACGGTGTCCCCAAGATGCATGACAAGGTCCATATGACTGCGATTGGCATTCATCTCCTTCACAGCGTGCTCAACCTTACCGGGGCTAAGGCGAAAATGTCGTCGAGACTTTTCTTCCTCGTCAGCGTACTGAATATCACTAAGAACACCAATGCTTAGCAGGGGAAGACGGTCGTACGTTGGAATCACCGGATACAACGTGCGGTTCTCATAGGCCTCAAGCGGCAGTACTTCCCCGACACCGCACACCCAGATAAATCCAAGAGAAAGTAGCAAAATACACAAGAAGACTTTCATCAGAAAACTTTCAACCAACCCAAAAGAGGCGCTCAACCTCCTCAAACACTTTTTTCTGTTCTTGTCTGGCGTATACGGAAAAAAAGATAAGCTGCGTTCAAGAGATGGAAAGAGAAGAGAAAAAGGCGGAAACAGGTAAGAAATACGGAGGTGAATGTGAAACAGAGCGGTGGGCCCACGTGGCCAGAAAGCATCCTGGCCAGGAACAGCAGGCGGAACACGCACGGCTCCTTCCTGTCACCCCCAAGCGCCCGCCGTCCAGCACACGCTTCGCACGAAACCACCACCGGCCCTGCAGACTCAGAGAAGAAACCCGTCCCACGGACATGCTTCCAGCACTCCCTCCCGTCGCGTTGCAAATATGACAGCTGTGCAATAACTCCGCGGCTCTGCACACAAAAGACTGTTCCGTCCAACTCTTCCCCGGCAACTCCAGCGCCACTCCGGAGAACAGCAACAAGCATGGCATTGCAAGAA